TAATGAACAACAGAACAAATAGAGTTTCATGTCTCTAACTGAAAAGAAGTGAGTTTTGTTACTTTTTCGTAGTGGCAGACAAAGATAATAAGTGACATTTTTTGAGACATATACCCGAGGGTTTAACGTAAATAAGGTATTATCCGGTGGTATTATTAAAATGTATCCAGGGATAAAAATATTCTCTTCCATGACGTGGATCCAGAAAATGTCAGCAAGGTAAATAATGTTCAAAAGTTAGAATCGTTTTATTTCCTAACAACGATAAGAAATGAGTTTCTTATTTAAAGTAGTCGTGTATTAGCTATTATTCTTTTGATACTTAAGGGAAAAGAATTAGCTTTGTAAGTCTTTTGTTTTCGTATAATATGAAAATATTATAGAAAAAAGTTTGAACAACCTAATGTATTCTTTTTTTTTTCTTCTTCTCGTACTCATGTTTTTGTGTGTCTTCAGTGTATATGCAGTCGTTAGTTACATTCAGTTCTATCGAATAAGAAGAAGAAGAAGGAAAGGTATAACATATTTCCCATATATATCTATTGTTGTCAACAAATTAATAATCCTTATCACATTAACAAAACAATAATTAGTACATTGTTAGTGTTGTGTGTTAGAAAAAGAACATATTTACGCATTATTTTTATGTTTTACTGGTAAAAGTTGATTTTACATTTGTACAGTAAGTTCCTCGAAATAAGGTGAGGCACTTTTAGACGAATCCTGTTCCATAAGACCTTACTTTAAGAAGGCAAGCGTTCAAATGCATCACGCAAAGTATGATGATTGCATGTAACCTAATTCCACTAAATTAATATAATAGCAAAGAGTTTAAATTCCAGTTGATTTCATTAAATGCTAGCACAAACTAATGAAATACCCTAAGTTATTAACTTAAAACCCACTCAGTTAGCGGACAAAAAGAATAATTGATCTTTAATAATAAAATTTTCCTAGAGGTGTAAGAAAATAAGATACTTTTAAACAATTATCAAAGTCTATTATTATAGAAAAAGGGAATCAAATAATCGTTTTATTTTGTCTAATCAGCTAGAAACATAATTAAAATCCAGTGAAACGTAAACGTGACGGCAATCAGCTGATGACGATATTCTGTAGTTATATAGTAAAGGTGAAATGATACTACTAAAGGTCAATCAAGCGTTCTTTTATTTGTAAAAAATTTACAAATGGACTCCATTCTAGTGTATTGAAGAAAACAGCTACTATTGTGCTCTACAAAAATCCAATAAAATGATCTAAACTGCCTGTTTGAATGGAATCAACAAAGAACTTTAATAAAGTTAGATTCTCTGGCAATCTAAACAATTGAATCGTTCTCACAAATAAGCTTTTAGTCTTTCACCTACATTATACTTAACAGACGGTTATCTGGTTGACTGAACAGTATGAAATCGATTTATACACTCATATGAAGTCTTTCAGAAAATATTGTGCTCACTTCCATCAACTATCCATTACCTAATTGTCTTTTTTTTTCTCAGATCGTTATCACGCATTTTTAAAAAGATGTTATAGATTTATAATATATATATATATATATATAATCGTTATTTATAAAAAAATAACGATTTTTATTTCAATTTTTACTGTAGTAAAACTTCTTGTACTCAAGTATTTGGGTTAAGAAAGACCGTGGAAAAACCGTGGAAAAAACACCAAGAAGTCAATACCTTGAATTCTTGAATCTTACACTCAAGATCTTGGTCAAGGTCTTAGGAACAGAAATTTCAAGATCTTGAGTGAGTGAATCGAATCTGAATGATGAAAGTATTATGATGAAAATTTCTTTACGTTTCCTTTCTTATATGATAGTCATATTCATTAGACATACAATCATATCTGATCATAGCCTCATCCTTGAATAACTGTGTTCAAGAAAGGAAAAGTTTCGAAGTTATTGTAAGTATGAAAATTTTTGCAATTATATGTAAGGAGAAGTGTGAACGATGGTTGAAGAATTACCAAGGTCTTGGTACAAGAACGCAAGAAATTTCAAGACGTTCAAGATCTTGGGCTCTTGAAATTTCTTAAATTTTCTTACTAAGATTTTACTGAAAAAATTCAGAAAGTCAAAATCTTGGTTACAAGAAGTTTGCTAGGAAAGGACTTTCATCTTGTTTATACACACGATTTATCTGATAGAATTGTAGAAAATTATTTAATTAGCACGTGTTTTGAAACTCAATTTTATTAGAGATATGTCTGAGTGTAAAAAAAGATACACGACGTTCTAACTTTGAACGCTAGAATCCTGCGGAACGGGACAGACGGGTTCGAGCAAAAAGAAATCGTACGTATTTGAGATTATATGGGCTCAGAGTAAGGTGTACAACAATCTTTCCCCTCACTTTTAGCTTACTTTCTCAAATTCCAATCAATTTTTGTCATACTTGGGTTTTTTTTTGATGTGACGAAACTTTCATTTCAGAATTGCTATTACCATGTAGTTCACGAAAAAAAATCACTTGTGAGCGCAGAAAACTCATCGTTTTTTTCACAGAGCAGAAAATTATATATTAGAAGATCAGAGTAGGACCCGCAGGACTCTATCGTAGGTACAAATGGAAGTCCGATGCAACTTACTTTTTTTATGAATTTTTTCTACTTCAAAGTAGCAAATTGGAAACAGGTAAGATGTATTTTTTCTAAAAAGTCCTAAAAGGGTTGTAACATTAGAAGGCCCGTTTCTTCTAATCTTTTCTGAGTGTTGAAGATTTTAGAGGGGTCTTGTATTACGTCCCAAAAAAATGCATGTTCTTCAGCACTTTTTGTTTTATTTGCAACAAATTCATGTATTACACTATGTAATAGATAATGTAATACATAAATTTGTATACTGTACACGTGTTAGTGTACATAGTATGTAGACTAATACGTGTACAGTATATACTATTTTTACAGTATGAACAAAGAACAAAGTCACATTTTACCATCAGTTGTGAATAAAATAATTCTTTCTGCTAGATAAATATATATCTTCATATAGGCGTGCTAATATTTTGAACCAAAATATCGTTTTGTTAGCAGTATAATTGACGTTTTTTCCCATAAAAATCTTAAAAACAGGGGGAGAGGTGTCTTCTATTTTAACTATTATATGAAGAGGCGAGGCGGGCCTTCTATTTAGGGAGGGTCATCTAATGTGACAACCTTTTTATTTCACGTAGATTTTTGAAGAAGTAGAAATAAATATAAGACCGCGTTCATAGGATTTATTCTTAAGATTTAAATGTATTCATTATTTTACAGATTGTGACACTATTACTTAAGTTATGATTTAAGTTCGAAATTTCTTTCAATTTTATTCATTTAAAAATTGTAATTATGCTTAATTGATTTGCCTTGTTTTTTTGTCCCGTTTCAACATGTATAACTCAGAAATTAAATGTATTAGAATTATTATCTTTTCATTTGAAAAAAATTGAAACAAGTATCTCACTAGTGAGAAAATATTGAAATTTAATAATTATCAAATAACATCTCATTACATATAATTAAACATGCTTTTTTCTTTTTCTTTGTCATTCATTTTTTTGATGTTTTGAGTTAAGTTCTTTCCTGTTGGATTTCTTATTTTAATATAAAAAAACACGAATTTTTCTATTACCGCCATAGAGAAAAACAGTGTAGATGCGTGTGCTTTTTAATTATTTCACGATAACAATTCATTTCTAATATAATCAATCACAATATATCTTTAATAAAAATTTTCTATTCTTTCAACAGAATTCTATCAACAAATTTCTACACATTGTAAATATGCTAATTATCATTAACGAAAAAATCGTTGGAAAGATGTCTATGCCACTATTGAACAATTCATATAAAAGTGTTCACGTATAAGAATCGGAGAAAATTAATTTTTTTGCAATAAAAATCAGAAAAAGTTAAGTATGTTAGAAAAATAATATTTTAATTCCTTTAAATACCTAATTTTAGTTTTATTAAATCGAGTTGACATACTGTTTTTCCAAAAAATAAACTAGTCGACCTTAAGCTATACGCACTAAACGGAAATCGTGATATTTTACACGATTCATATTGCGTGTGGTTAGATTAGTTTGTCAATAATTAGCGAGAAATGGTATTGTTTACCAAATAATTATCATCTTCCTTGGATGAGGTAGCGATTATTACTCAATAATTATTGAGAATATTGAAACAGTAGTTGTTTCTTTTTGTTCATACAACAACGAAACTACGTTAGAAAAAAAAAAGGGCATTTGATTTTGTTCATCGATAGTCAAATCAATACAAGTTAACTTGTTTGGCTATTTTCAATTAGTATCTGACATTTATAGAATCTTATTACTTTATGACACGAATAGAAAATGATAATATGGTAGACCATCTGCACAATATTTTCTCTTTATTACTATTTCATCTAAAATAATCTGTAAACTATTCAAGGTATTCATAACTTTGTCATTATTTGTCTCTTCATATTTCTTAATCGGTTTGTAGAATAATAAGTTTAGTAAGCCATATTTAAAAATCAATGTTCAAAGTAGATTATTAAAAAAACTTGATATATTTTTAAACACATTTGTGATGAATAGAATAAAATCAGTATAGTTTAGGCCTCGATGTAATTTAATACGTTAATTAAGATGTTAAACTTTTTTTTCTTCAAATTTTAGAATGAACAATTCGTTTATATTCTTTCTATTTATTGCGACATTTGTAACGTGTACGGTCGCTTCTTATCTCGATATTCCGGCACCACCAAAACGTCCTGAACGATTTAAAACACGAGATCAAATAGAAGACTACTTGAAAGCTGTCAAAGATTATTATGATGCTTTTAAAATTAAATTGGTTCGCCGACAAAATTCACTGCCTGATTTATACTTAAATTTAGATAGTGGTGATAAAGATCAACAAGAAGAAACGGAAATAAACAACAGCAACTCTGGTGATAGTTCAGATGAACTCGATCGTTTGTCGTATAAAACCTATCGTCAACATTATTTATCACCAAAATTTATCCCATATCAAACGAATCCACATTCATTTCTTCGTACAATGAAACGAAAACATTCGAATAGACCGTCATCGCCAATTTTATTTGAATGAACCATCATTAATGCTCAATGAATATGTGTCTATGTTCAATACTACTACCATCATCACCATACAGGAAATAATAGAACTGAGATGTGATGCCACCGTTTTAGTTTACTTGTTTTTGATTTTTATCGAAATAATAGAAATAAAATAAACAAATCAGTTATGGGGGCCATCCAGAGAGTGGATTTAATTTCCTTCCGTAAAATAAATTAATACGTTTGTTGTCAGAATTTGAATTGCGTTGACCAACACATATACACTATCGACAATTCCGTTCAACAACCGAATAAATTCCAATGCTTCACCAAAACAAAACAAAAAAGCGTATAATCGTAAAAGAAACTAGAATCTCTAATGTTATATGGAGATCATGGTGGTGAGCGTTCATCCATACATACAAAACTAACTTTCTTCATAATTGCTCTTGTTACCAGATTGATTAAATAATAATCACCATGCGCTCACGACTCTACAGTTGATAAGTAACAGCCATTCCCACAAGTAGAAGACCATCTCCTATTAGACGATCACTGCTGATGATTTTTTTCTGATACTCCCTTCATGATTTTTGACCAAAAATCGAGTTGAGTTATTCGCCAAAAACAGAAGACCACGGTGGTCTTCTATTGTTGAGAGGGGGATATTATATGTAATGTGCGAATAATTTAGATTTTTAAATTTTTATTAAAGAAATCCACAGGCTTAAAAAAGTTTACTTTCGTTACATAGTTCAATTCGAGTTGTACATAAAGAATACAATATCTCGTAGTGTAGTATACGATGAACCATGCTACCAACGCTGCGCAGTGTAACTAGATACAGATGAGAAAGTTGAAATATTAAATAGGCATTTTTCAAATATTTATACTTGGAGTGGTCCGTATACTGATTCACTTACTGCTGATTATTTATCTGATTCCACAAGTGACCTACATTCTGCGGTAGAAGTAGTATTTATGCGTTTGAAGGCAAACTTTCCTCAACTCAATTACCATTTACACAAACGGAACTATGCATTCAGTTTTCAATGTGTGCATACGGATGTGCAGCTAACTCAACTAATCATTAACTTCCTCGCTGTTCATTATACGATCAGTACCGTAAAGAACTTTCTCTTCAGCTAAATTTCATTAAAAAGTTGACAACAAACATTTTACTACTTATTCAACTTTTGATATCGACGCACAGAAAGTGATATTTAAGAGTGTGAATCTCTTTATTGAACAAACAAAAAGATTTCAATAAATCAGCTTATCGATTCTCACTTTCTTCCCACAGCGAGTAGCCCGTATTTATATCATATTATCTTTTCTATTCAATTTTTTCTTTTACTCTTCATCATGAACTGTGATTGTATATTGCAATTAATAATTTGTACCAATAATGAGTGCTTTGTTCGATCTGGGGCGTCATCGTTCGTGAAATAGGGGCCCAACAGACCAGCCCGCGCCTCTACGCCATTTCGTTACCGAGAAATCTTCAACTGCGAACTGCGAGTAAGAAGAAATATCATTTCGAGAAAAACGCTCTTTTTTACAATGGAGTGTGTCCAGAAACATTCTTCCAAAAAAAATTAATTCAGGACATAGAACTTAGTGCATTCGAAAGAGGACACTTCAGGTTATTAACGTATTACATATACTTGTTTAAAATACAATATTTTAACGAAAATTGACATTTCTGACGGAGGGGTCTTAAGAATTTTAGACAGACTCAGCATTGATCGAGACCGATACTTCGGTATTGGTGCATGCCTAGTTTGTACAGTTTGAGATCAGTTTTAGTAGTTATTAGTTTGTGCACTTCGAAAATAAAACTTGTATAGAAGAAGTCAGATTTCATTTTTTTGTGCAAAAGATTCGCCATTCAATTTTTGACAAAATTAATGTTTTATGATTGTTCATTCTTTGATTGCTATGAAAATTTTAGTATCTGGATATAATACAGCAATTATTTCTGTAGAAACTAAAAAAACTCACGATCAAAACATCAAATTTTAATTAAATAAGAATAATGGCAGGAGTTTTTGTAACGATATTTGTAAATTTATAAGTACAAATAATTAAAATAAAAATTGAAATTAAAGGATGTTGATAAACACTCAATATCAATTTTTATTGTATATTAAATTTCTGATGATGAATCAGGAGATTCGACAGCTTATTTAATTAGTTCAATTACTTATGCTGTATAAATTTACAAATAAAGTAAATTTTCACCATCTTTTATGCATTTTACTGGAAACACTAAAGTTTAGAACGACAATATCGATTTGTTTTTTCTATTTTTGTACAAACTTGACACAGAAAGTGATCATATTTTATTTTATCAAACGAAAAATAAAACAATCAAAATTTAATACAACATTGTTTCGATGTAAGTTTGTTCAAAAGTCACAGCTACAGGACAAAAAAAAAATTTTTT